GCAAACCAATTAGCAGCACAAATAGCATAGATGCTAAACACAATGTAAACCCATAAAATTTTATCCTATGAATATGAACATGGTATAATGTGTTCATGTAATTAAATCTACAATAATGCCAAAGATGTCCAGATGTTTCTATTTTGCAAAGCCGTGCACAAGGGAATTCTAGATTTTAGTGTTTTGCTCAATTTAAGCTTGAAGTTTATTTCATGTAGTTGGACCAGCAGATTCCACAGCACAATGAGCATGAAGTATTTGATTTAAAAGCTGATGTCAGGGGAAGCAAAGGGCAATGAACTGGTTACTTTTCATTATATGACACTAGGTGGCGCTAGGTGTCTTCTCACTGTAAAGACTGATTCGGACAAAACTGACCAACAACTTTTTTTTTCTTTCTTGTATTTCATTACAGTGACCGGCTCGTGCTTTTTTATATTCAGCAGTGCACTGAAAGCCTCTGCAGGATACCTGGCCAAGTCCAGCATCGTAGAAGGTAGGAGATCCACTCAGAGGAGGCGCCACGTTGACCTTTGCTTTCACCTTCCTGCTCACAGGAAGATTCACTCTTTACATTTCTTTAAAAGTAGAGCATCGCTGCCTGCAAACCGGTTTATTCAGAGCGTGTTGATCTTTGTATGTGTGTGTCTGTGTACATTTTAACAGCCTGTTCGTCTAGGCGTGTGTACGCGTCGATGCATGTGAGCGAGTGTGCGTGTGTCCGTTTGTGTGTTTCTCCTGTATCGCTGTCCCCTCTCCGCAGACGGGCTCATGGTGCAGATCACCGTGGAAACCATGGCGGAGCTGCGCCGGTCGCTACGGGAGATGAAAGACTACACCGTCACCTGCGGACGGCTTGACCAATCGGAGAGCCAGGAGCTTGTTTGTGTGCAGTGGGTGGAGGAGAAATGCACTGTGAATAAGGGGTGAGTGCGTTTGAAGTTCAGGTGCCTTTTGTGTTCGGGAACAATGCGGCGATCAAAAGATAGTTCATGAAAATTCAAATGAACTATTATTAGTGGATGGTGGTTAGAAAAGTACAAATAAAAATATAGTGTTTAGGAGAATTTCTGCCAGCCTCCTGTAGACAAAAGGTTTTAAATGATCTGTTTGTGTTTTCCAGCGTCATAAGTCCCATCGATGGGAAATCAATGGAGTCTATCATCAGTACCAAGATGTTCCAGAAATCAGAATACAAAGAAAACGGGAAGATCATCCGCTGGACAGAAGTACGTTCAATGATCTGCTAAAATCTTTCAGGTCCATCTGAATTATTCTAGTCAGTGTTTGACCCAAGCATTTACCACCAACATACAAGCTGGATAGCTGGATTACTTAGTTCATGGTTGCAGCTGGAATATATATATTAAACAACTGTCAATCCATCTCAATTCATCAACTTTTTAGAGCAGATTCTGCTCAAACAAGTCTGATTCACCCAAAAGTTTTACAGCATAAAATATGGATATTTATAAAGACATAAGATTATAACATTTTAGCTCGATGTGTCACAAACTTCCCCGTTAACCTACTTTTTTCCACATTGAAATTTATAGACATGCAATATCTGAGAAACTATTAACCTCTAAGGACTTCACATACATGGACATCACATCTTGGGTTATATTACCACAGTTGTTAATTTTTTAAAATTTATTTTTAATTTTTAATGTTATTATTATTATTTTATTATTGCTATTTATCTTTATTTTTTATATTTTTATTTTTTAAAATATTTGTATATATTTTTTAAAATATATTTGAATTTTCTTTATATTTTTTGTTCTCTAAAAAAAAAAAGCATATCAAACAAGAGCTCTGGTCTTAAGTGGTTAAAGATTAAAGCCTGAAAATGTCACCGTTATTTCTCATCATGCTGTTGATTCAGAGTCTGCAATATTGTACAACTACAGCAAAAAATTGTAAATTTAGGTGAGTTGACGTGAAAAATAATGTTGTGAAAAGCTCACATTACCCAAAGTCAGCTTAGGATATTGTGGTTTTTCATTCTAAGTTCATCTGAGGCAGCTAAATTTCAATGTCAATGTCTGGTGCAGGTGTTCTTCCTGCAGAGGGCTGATCTTCCCAAAGGAGGAGCGAGCGACTCTGCCGAACACAACCGGCTGACGGAGCGCATCGCCCGGGCGTTCTGCTTGGCGCTGTGTCCGCACCTGAAGCTGCTGAAGGAGGACGGCATGGCCAAACTGGGGCTGCGCGTCACGTTCGACTCCCAAGAGGTCAGAAAAGATTAAGAGAACTTGAAGCCGGCGAGACGCGTTGTCGCAAAAATCACTACTGCTAATACATCAAGCTGGAAGTGGCCTTCACATTTCATGCATTCGCCTCCTTTGAGGTTACATCAGGAATAGTTTCCCAGCAGAGCCAAAATTCAACACATTTGTCAGAGTTGAGTTCTGGATTTTTCTTACATCTGTTCTGCCATATAAAATATTTACAGAAATGTGTAACTTCTGGGACAACAGCATGAAAAATTTAGTAGATGGACACACAGACACAAAGCAAAGCAGAGCTGCAGTTAATCCCTACAAACCACATGGTGTCAAGAATCAGGAAATCTGAAGATGTTTTGTTTGTAGGCATTCTGTGCAGATTATTGAAGGCAGAGTTTAATTTCTGCAGTTTTTTACATTTTGTAGGTTCTATTAAAACAAGTTTTAAGGACAGATTTCATACTATAACGGCATAAAACAAAAGCACTACAACCCTTCTCTCTAATGCACACATTTGATTGCAAGTCTTTAAAATTTAAGCCCCCTTTCTCAACTTTACAGCCTGTATAGTTGCTGCTCTCTGCTCCTTTTTCATTCTTTTCCATTAATAATTTACCATTTTTGTTATTTAGCAGTAAAATGTGAAGTTTTTATGCTAAGGGCTAATGTTAGTTTAAGTGCAATTCTGCTGAAACTTTGAGAAATTCATTAGCACGGATTACACTTAATGGTTTTAGAAGTTGGTCCAACTGTGGTGGCAAGAACAAAGAACAAACAGCTCATATAAAGCTTAGTCGTAAACTTTATATTACAGCCTCCAAGTGTGAAACTGCAATAACACTAACTAGCGGTTCGTTTTGTAACTCCAGGTGGGATTTGTGGCCGGGAGCAACGGGCAGCCGCTGCCAGCTCAGTACCTCAACGCCCTGGACAGCGTGCTGATCCCCGTCATCCACAGCAGGGGGCGCAAGAGGGGCGACGAGTCCATCGTGATGGAGCTCATCTTCTACATCCTGGAGAACATCACTTAGAGAACGCACGCCCCGACGTCTCATCCTCGTAACCCCCGGCCACAGCTCCGTCTCCGGCACTCCTCATCAGTGCGGTTTCAGGCGAATAAAAGCATTCCAAGGGCAAAAAAAAAACAAAAAACAAAACAGAAAATCCGAAGGTCTGCATCCATCTCATCCATCCACCACTAGAGAGACACGATCAGACTCTTATTGGCTTTCTGATCTACTCGGCCGCAGACAATCTGCATGAAACCTACGACGGACCACGAGATCAGCGTGCAGCTCTTTGCACTGTAGTAGCAACTCCATAGCTTGATTATCATTCATGTCACAATGTTCAATACCTGTTCCTATACAGAAGAATACCTTTAAAGCGGGAGCTGGCTTCGGCCCCGCGACCTTAAAAGCAAAGAGAAAAAGAGAATGACTTGAAGTACTGTATGTAGTAGATCTGTAGCGGTTTGATGCACACTGAATGAATGCCTAAAGAATGTTTTCATACTGGATGTATTTTAATCGACTGCTCATGAAATGTAATGTCAGCTTGGAATTAAACTTGCAACAAGACTGAGTTACTGCCTGTTTTCTTGCGAATCGCTGACGTGCACATTTCAGAGGGAGGTGGTGTTCTTTATACTTCCAAGGTCTGTTTTGAGATTAAGCTGCGACACTCAAATACATTCCTAGAAATCAGTGGTTCACAACCGTTTTTATCTCGTGATCCAAAAATGTCTACTTGTGACCTCCTGTCATGAGTTTATTGTGGCTACAAAGGATTTTCTCAGATTGCATAAAGTGAGCGTGACTTTAAGAAGCCTGATGGCACAAAAGCATCCAGGATTTTGTGAGAAATCTGAAATGCTTGTAGCACAAAGTTTTCGTTTTTTTCCTGAATTATCTCAGGGTTCCTTACAATCACTTTGGGACTCCTTCTCAGACACACAGCTATAGATTAACCTGCAACCTCCACTGGTTAAACGAGATTTCAAATAGAACTTTCTTATATATAAGAACAACCATTATACATGCTGGATTATTTAGTTTATAATTATATATATGAAGAAAAGACTCATTCCATCTCAAACATCACATTTTTAAGAACAATTTCTGCTCATCCATCTCTGATTAAGATATTTGTGAAACTTTAGCTTGATATATCAAATACTTGCTGAGATTTTTCTTTTTGTAAATTGCATGTCGACCCACTTTCAGCCCATTTATCCATATATTGAAATCCGAGGCCACGTCCGATCAACAATATCTCAGGGAAAAAAAATCAAGATAAAAGCCTGTTTTTTGTTTTTAACATGTCATTGATTCAGAATCTGCAGTATTGTACATGTAAAACAAACAATCTCCAACATAGGCGAGTGAAAAGTCCCATCTTTGAGCACATATTATCCAACAAATTAATAATGCAGAAGTAAGCCAGTGGTATTCGCTGAACCATATGGAGTTGAATGCACAATAATACTAAACAAATCATACAGAATACTTTCAAATATGAAATGTCATGATCATAAAAATGAAAAAAAAAAACTTGAACCACAAAAATTAAAATATTATAAGACAGCTAAATAAAAGTGGAGCAGACTTCTGGAGTTTCAAAATGGTTCTTAAAACATAACTACGAAAACCTTTCTGAGCCTGATGAAGCAACTGAGTAGATCCGGTGTGTAGGATGCTTCTCTCTGCTTCATGCCACGAATCTTTTTCAAACAAAGAAGAATGGATCCATTGTTTACGTCCTACTTGCCGCACATACTTGGGATAGCCAAGACAAGAGGCACAAGCAAGCAATGCAAAAGCTTTCCTTCTTTGTTGCAACACTGCTCAACGTCCGAACCCGAAGACCTGACAGCGTGAAGTGAAAACGTTTTGAACCGCAGCTACTCTGCGAGAAAGTGAAAACACAGACACGAAATGTAAAACGAGATAATTTAAATTGGAATTTATTGGCATTTTAATTTTTAAATACACAATGTAACAAAATTTAGAAAGTCTAAAGCATACCAATACAATTAGTTATTTTTTTTTTCTCCGTTTGCTGTAAAACTATTTACAAAAATGTATGTTCAAGTCTGATAGAAACTGTACAGTCATCTGTCCACAGGGGGGGGAGTGAGGAGGGTCAGAAAAAGCAGTGAAGGTAAGTGGGGAGAAAAGGCCACCAGAGTGATACTGAAATACGAGGTTGTTTGCAACATCAGTGAAGATAACATTTAGGTCAAAACATCTTCTCTTCATACATCATGTTCCATAAATGGCTCCCCAATGCAAAGAAACGAACAAACCAACCAACTGAACGTGGGACCCCCAACTGTGGAAATCATCGACCACATCGCTCTCCCATGTTTTGCATACAAAACTAAAAAGAAGAAAGAAACAGCCAAAATTATCTTTGGAATTTGTAGTAGTTTCAACAGATCATACGTCTTGGGCGTTTCCTTCCAGAGTTCCTAGGCCTTCTTCATCTTGCCCATGTGAGTGCTGCCGTTCTCGTGGTGGGCCGAGCCGTTGCTGGTGCCGTTGGAGGGTCCGTGGCCGACACCGTTGCTGGTGCCGTTCTCGTGGTGCTTGCCGTTCGTGTATGCAGCTTTGCCGTTCTGGCACTGCTTAACGTCCTGCTTCGGCAACCGCTTGCCCCTCACGTAAGCCTGAATCCAGAAGTTGGAGAAGAGCACGAAGAAGAAGGTTCCGTACATCCAGATGAGGTGGAGGATCATGGGGAACTGGTAGTCGCAGCTGTCCATGAAGTAATACTGGGTGGCGTGGAGAGATACCAGGACAAACTGGGTCTGTTGGGGGGAGAAATTATGAAAATGAATGTAGAGAAATTTGTCTTAAATCCCGTTAAAGGGAAGCTTTTTTTTAAATCCCTTTCCATCATTGCCAATTGGTTGCTCAAAGCAACCCCAAAGGAATCTTGAGTTTTGTTGGGTTTCTTTGTAGACATTTTGTAAGGTCTTTGTCCTACCACGTGAGGAGATGACTTATGCTGTAGGGTGGCGCTATATAACTAATATTTAAAAGAAACATGCTGACAGAACCTGAGTAGTTCAAGACGTTCAATACTGAATCCATCCTGAAGCTGATCTTTTAGGTAGTCAAAAATTCTAAATCGAGTTTAGGGTATACGTACCAGCTGAATGGCAGTCATGTATTTCTTCCACCACAAAAACTTCTGAAACCTTGGTCCAGCAGCGGAGAGACCGTAATAGAAATACATGATGACGTGGACGGAGGAGTTCACCATCGCATGGAAAGATCCCATTCCACCTAGAGCAACATTGACAAACGTGATTAGACCGACCCCTATCGCCAAATATAAGAAACCTCTGACCTCGTATCAAAATCACAACGCGCCAAGGCCAATAAAGTTTGACGCAGACATTCTTGGTTAATCATTTTCCTTTGACTAAACAGTTCTGTACTTTACAGTCACCCTGCGCAAGGTTTCTTAGAGGGCATTTTAACGAGATCAAAGTAGAATCCAAACCAAGAAAACTGTGGCAAAGTGTACAGTTCAATATGTACAAGGTTGGTGTGAAGAATGATGTAACTTTACTAGACCACCTGGCTGCCTCATCCCTCTGTTAATCATTTAAAAAAAACCTTTGACAGGTGAAGATTTCTTTAATGAGTACTCACCGGGAGCATAGCCGACTCCCCACCACCAGGTCCAGGGCATGAACGAGTGGTGGAAGATGTGCAGGAATGTGATCTGGCCGTGCTTTTTCCTCAACACAAAGAACATCTAACAGAAATGGGATGTTGATTAGTGAAAGCTGAGCTGTGCTGATGGAAAAAGCTCCAACTAATGCAACATGACATCAGGTAAAACAAAGTGGACTTACTGTGTCCATCAGCTCAATAATCTTGGAGAACCAGAAGAGCCAAGCTACTCGGACCATCTAGAGATGAGCACAGGCTTGAATTAAGAGGAGACTCATTTGCAAACCAATGCAAGGCTGCTAAATAACAATATTACTGAATGCTATTCGTTGTAGAGTTTGAGGAACTTACTCGTAGGGCTTGAGGACTGTTTGAGGTATCAACTGCGTCACATCTCCAGGTATACGTTGTGGCCCATCCAGACATGAGGAACTGGAAATGACAAGAAAATCTGATCAATTTTGAGGTTTATCACTATTTTTTAAAGGATTGATGCCGATTATTGGCGATTTAGGATACCAGTAACCAATATTTGAAGCCTATATGCATTTGCGTTAAAATTTAAAATCTTAATGTCAACATTTTGAATAGCACACATTCCAACACTGAAGTTTCCTAAAATGCCTTTTATCAATGTTTTGCACACATTTAATTGAAAGGGAACTTTTAGTATTGATACACTGCAAAAAATTCCATTTCTATGCAGATGACACCCCTTTATATTTATCTACACGGCCAAATGTAATGAAATGTCTTAAGGACATAAAAGCCTTGATGACTTTTAGTTTTCTTCTTTTAAATTCAGACAAAACTGAAGTTATGATATTTGGCCCTAAACACCTCAGAAACACACAATCTAACCAGAAAGTTACAGGTATACAAAAAAACTGAATTATATTAGATAGGCTATTTGTACTAATGTGTAATCAGTCAGAGAGTGCTGTGGATAGGACATTGCTCAAGTCTGTAGTGACTATACATAGAAACATGACTACATCAGAGCCAAAGCAGCACATTTTCAACTTTTAATAAGAAATTGGGGGAAAAAAACAAACAACTCCAATTATCCGAAAAATGCTTAATGTAGGTAATCAGCCAGGCCGACACTTGGTGAACTCCTTGTGTCTACTTGAATTTAGTAATATCCATGGAGAAAAGAAGTCCGACATAAAATGTGCAAGGATTTATTTCACAAGTTGATCTCTGGTGACAGATTCTTACCTCATACACGATGTATACTGATAGCCCCACTAGCAGAAAGTTGTAGACTATCATGGCTTCCTTCAGCTGGAAGGGCTTCCGATTGGCCATGATGCGAGGTCCCAGGTACAGTACAAAGAAAAGGTAGGCCAGCAATATCCCCGTCATGGGAATAGGACTCTGCATAAACGCATAATCCTTCAGCCGTGGATCTAGAAGGCGTAAATGGGTACAATTACATTTAACGAACAAGAGGGGGGGAACGTACAAAACAATCTTTCTGCATTTGTCGGACACCTACCGATTCCTGCCAAGAGGTAGTCATAGATATCCATGGCGTTTGAGCCAAACTCCTGAATCCCCTGAAGCATGTTGGCCTTCTTATTGGTGTGACCCAATTATCTGCAAAACACAACAAAAAATAAAAAAACCCCAACAAGCTCATTGTTAGTTCTAGCTCCTCAAAGTAAGAATCCTTCCACCGTTCCATGTAATTGAAAGACAATATTTTGACTTGTGCTGAATGTAAAGAAAAAAAAAAAAAAGACAAGTGCACTTATAAGACTTTTTTTTTTTTAGATGCATTTGTGAAATTAAAATGTACCAGTCTCGTTCCCCATCTGTTCTTATTGATTTTCTGTGGAAAAATCATTGTGTGACATAACAGACAGGCAGTTAATGTTTTTTCCCTAGACAGAAACATTTCCAGAGACATCACATAAAGCAATAATCCAGTGTTCTCCTTCCAGACAAGAGTGAATTACATAACATGCAAGAAAAAAAGAAAAAAGAAAAATCACATGTCGTTTTATTTTATGCCTGGGCCTCGCTGGTGTTCACCCGTGACCAATAAATGCCTTCAAGGAGGAGCATTTTGTGACATTTAATGATTCAGCAGGACTGAAATGCAATTACTGGGACAGAGCAGCTCATCCCTCACCGAACAAACACTCCCAAGGAAAAAAAAAAGAAAAAAAAGTCCCAGGATGCTTTGCCCCCGGCTCGAACCACTCATCAGACATGGCCTGATATCAGAGAGGAGGTGCTTCAGGGAGCTGGGAGGGCATCCCTCATCCCACAGTGAGGCTGGCTGTTTGCGTGTAGGAGTCACGCCAGATGTTTAGACACAATAACCAAACTGCTCTTTCAAATAAACCCAACTGAGATCAAATGGGGGGAAAAAAAAAAGGTTTCTGATCCAACAGAACAAACGGCGGAACCTTAACGCTGATATCAAAGTTCCTTAAACTAACAACTGTTTCTTCCTGCTATGTACTAACCAAATTTTTTGGAAGTCTGCCACTAAGTATTTCAGATAGTGCCATGACATGCAGCCTGCACACAGGAATGCTGCAATGGGCCTTTCAGATCTGGGTAATTTCTGTTGACAAAAGGCTTATCATATCAAGTGTAAACTGCAAAGCGTATTCACAAAAGTCGAGGACATGCAGGGTGCGGTCTGCTCTCCCCACACTGGACCCAGAGGGAGCCATTGTTGGATGTACAATCTACAATGCTCTGAGTTTTCACTGCCCAAAGGCTACAGAGCAGCCAATCCTTAAGCCAATATCATTAAAAGCTAATAATTTCAGCCTGTGGAATGAAGGTCAAAGCTCATGTAGGTGGTAGAAAATGTTTAATGCAGACTAAAGCTATGCATTTTTTCTCCCCTCCAACAATAACGTTGATTATCTTTTGGTTTTTCTGTTATTGCTGACATCTAATGACAAATCTGACTCGCTGACTACAGCAAGGTCAAAAGATGTGAAGTTATTTGGGATTTTAAACTCACACTGAATGCAAAAAAATACCAGCTGTAGCCATTTTTGCAAATCAGCCATCTCGAGCCTTCATCTCATTTGTGACGCCAACACTTTTGACTATCGTCACCTTAACCGGCCCGACTGTTCCGTGTGACCACTGTTAACTGATTACGAACAGTATGGGCTCACAGATTATAATCAAATGGACATTCCTCGTTTTGGAGATGCCTTGTACAGATTCAGTTTTTCAGATGGTAACCACGGGGCTTTTGTCAACACCACAGTATCTCTGCTGTTGATTTTCCTGTTAAGCTTCCAGGTGAGAGGGTCTGGCATTCCAGAGCGACCTGTGACAGCCGCACTATCTGGCTAAAACGTCCTTCTGTCGACATGACGGAGCCCCGAGTCACGTCATCTGTCACCACAAGTGCAAAAACGGCTGCTGTTGTGTAATGGATTAGACACATGGCATTTCAGAAAACTCTTACACATAAAGCTGTGGTTGTTTTTGAATCGACGATGAGGCATTTGGTCAGGCACCTCACATTTCAACAAGAGTACCATCGTGCCTGTTGGGTAGAGTCTGTCTTGTTCTGAGGAAAAATGCTGAAAAGTTAAATGGATCAGATCATAACCTGGTCGGGTTAGTGACAAAACCTAGGTGGTTGTGAGTAGACTGAACAGGAATTGTGTAGCGGCAGTTTGGACCACTACACATTGTTTAAATTTGAGCTTTTTTCAGTGGAAATTTAAAGCCAACATTCTCTCTTTGACGGTTAAGTTTGATGAGAAAAGATGGTTTTGTTGGGATCCAATGCAACTTCTAAACCGGGTCATGTTGCAGACACTGTAAAAGTGCACAAGTTCATAACTGAGAAATCCTATGAACATGCAACATGTGACTCTCTTTAGAGTGCTTTTTGTTCAGCATTTCTTTTTTTACAAATACTAATAAAACTGATTGTGCAAGTCAGGAGGACAGTCTTGTGATCATGACAACACTAAACAAGAAGAAAAAAAAGAGGCAACATGTCTCAATCCTGAAACCCAGATGAAGATAGAAGATCAAAGAAAATGAGGCCCCTTCCATTTCAGCTGAGTGAAACCACAAAACCATTTCCCAGGACCCAACAGCAGCAACAGCAGCAGCAGCAGCTACTGCACCTCGCTGCCCTGACACTATTGTACCATTTATTGTAGCTGGTTGTAAATGAACTCACACACACACACACAATGACACCACCTAACTGCTTCTAATCTCCACCAATTAAAGGCTTATCCATTACCTCAGAACTTGAACCAGGAGAATATGTTGTAAACTGATGCTTAACATCATTATTTGCTATTGTTTAGATGTTTTCCTTTATGAGAGATGCAATGACCATTTAAGCACCAGTTTACTTGTGTATAAAAAAAGGAGAGAAAAAAAGGCTCTTGTATCACCTCAGCAGAAATAATTTACAGCCCTTAACTACATTTAATCTGTTTGTTCAACTCGAATAAAAGTTGGTGTCAAACCTCAGTCCTGCGTGCCCCGACACAACCAACCGTTCATTATGAGGCAACACTGACAACTAAGCAGCTGGTTTACGTCTACCAAGGTGACATACAGTGGAAACGGAGTGGGAACATTTCCTTAGAGAGCCGTGTCAATGAATCACAGAGATGGAAAAAAAAAAAAAAAAGAGCTCACACTAGTAAGGAGTTAATGATGAACTGGATCAGAGATGAAAAAAAAAAGGAGCAGCCAGGAAACTATTTGTAAAAACGAACGATCTGCTACGAAAAGGACATTTTTATCAATAAAATAAAAACACCAAAAGAACAGGAAAGAAGCCCGACATGTGAGCAGACTCCACACACAAGTTCTACGTCACACTGAGCAACTTACCTTGTTGGGACAAGACTTTTTTTTTTCTCCCCCCTCTTTTAAAAGCAAAAAGCCAAAGTGGATTCTTCTTTCCCAGCTTCTCCGTAAGCTATAAAAGGGCAGGCGGGCAGCAGCAGCAGCAAAAAAAAAAAAAAAGGAGGAAAAAGCAGCAGCAAGGAAGAGAGAGAAAGACAGAATGAGTGAAAAAGAGAGAGAGGGAGAGAGGGAGAGAGATGGGGGTAAGGGAATGAGAAAAGTAAACTGACAAAGTGTGACTGGTACAGCAGTCTTCCAAATCCCCACCCTCCCTGACTCACACAGTGGATGAATAACTAGCTCACAGAAGGAGAGGGAGGGAAGGAGGCTGAGCCAGAAGAGCCAGAGCTGTGTATGTCCAAAGAGGGGGGAAGTTTGGTTTCTATTTAAACCCACGCTACCAAATACCGCCGAGTGAAATGGTTGCTGTTCGACCGCCGCCCTTAACTTCAACGAGCCACGCTTCGCCCAAACTCACAAGCTCCAACTCGCCGACAAACGCTCCGGAGTCGCCCTGTGAAGTTTCTCCTCAGGACGGGGGTGGGCTGATAATATTATTCACAGGGAGCAGGGCGAGAAATCAGTGGCCACTGTGTTATCATGAAGGAGGCCATTGTTGCGCCTGTACTGGCCCTGTACCCGACCAACACCCATGAAGCAAAGACTAGCTGATACTTTTTTTTTTTTTTTTTCCTGTGTTGTGTAGCTGCAAATATTTCCAAATTAAAATCTCACTTCCTGTTTTTTGTCCACTCCAAATCTGAGCCTACAGGTCCAGAGTGCAGCACATAATGGCCTTCCACAGACAAACATCTAATACATGAGCGTCATAAACAGGCGCCACACGGCTGTAATGTTTACTCAGGGTTGGATGGCGAAGCTGATTGCAGACACACACACAAAAAAAACAGCGATTGGTGCAAAAGGGAAGACATGAGTCATAAGATAATGCTTAAAATTCTTCCGAGCGTGTTGTGTAAGGCTGCTTCGCTGTCCCCGATAGGAAATCACTTACTCTGATCTCACTGCCACGCCCTGTTGTTATGAGGAGGAACAAAACATTACAACAATGCTAATAGGTGCTAGTTACATTTTCTGCTCAGGAAAGTATTTGCAGCAGTTGAAACATCTGCCATGAGGGGAGAAAATCAGGATTAAACCCTGTAGTTTGATTTGCAATTTCCTCAGATTTCCTAACTAGTCATTTATGTGATCTGGTTAAAACGACCTGTAGTGGTTTAGACATTTAGTTCCTAAGATGAATATATATGTTAGTCATCTTTCTGCAGTTGCAGACAGTTGCTCACTTGCTTTAAATTTAGTTTCAGGAGGCCGATGAGTGAAATCAAGGCGGCAACTAACTGCAATCAGTGTTGGAAAAAAAAGTCTCCGATAGCCATTTGTTGAACTTGGCCGATTACATCAGAGCTCGGAAAGTTTTCCACTGGCCATCGTTTCATGTAAATGCCCTCTTCAGTGTTATACTGTATCAGCCAGGGCAGGTTTTACCTGCAGGTCTGCCCCTGTGGAGGGGAGGCATTTCAGCCCCTCCTCCAAATACCAAAACACACCTGACAACAAAATTCATCATCTGCAGCTACAGTCGCTGACAGAGCCATTTCAAATATGATAGTAATCTTGTTCCGTGAAACCAACACCCCTCTACCGCCGTGACAAAGTGAAGACGGAAGGATGTGGAAACGCCATTCATGGCCGCCGACGGAAGCAGTTTCTTCTGTCGCCGACTACTGTTACGGTTGACTTGTGAAATCGCGTAATCATCAATACTGACCACATTCAAAGTCCACTTATTACCGGAAGAGAATCAATCAAATCAAAACAAACCATATTTTTTAATTACAGCACTGTGGAAATGATAAAAGAGAAGCTTATACGGTTTAGATTTGGTCGTGCTTTCATATAGAATGAGGAGATATCTACAACTTCCTCCTAAGATGCATTAAAGATCATCAATTCAACTCATGTTTGACACACAAATGCCAAAATTTAACTCAGTGCAATCCTGATAAATGATTTGTTGACTGGAAACCGTTAATGGAAGCATGTATGTGTGCAGCAAAAGCATTACAGAAGCGAACACAAGCCTCCTAGAATTTCCACCAGCATGTCACACACAGGTGTGACGAGTCCGACTCTGCTGCCAAGGCCCCGTCACTGTACGAACGCCAGGTCGAGCTATGCAGAGCAAAAATTCCATTGTCGTGTGTGAGGATGTGCAGCTAATTATATTGCTTTGAAAAGGTTGTACAGCTGAGGCCTGCCTTTGGTGGTTAATTCCAGCATAACGTTGGGGCTGATTATGCATTCCAAGTGAGCAATGTTTGACTTACAACCAACCAACAGAACTCTGGACAGTTTGACACCTGTCAATATTTGGATTTGAAAATGAGTTTTTTTTGTGGCCCCGAGCAGTCCCACTACCCTTACAACCGTGCACATACCTTTACATTTAGACAAGGGTTCACAGTAAATGGCCACAGGGTAACCACCTTCTTTAAAATATTAGTGTAACAAGTTAACTAGCAGAGCCGGTTCTCACCTTTCTGGGAGCACCGGGAAAATTCTACTGAAGGGCCCCCCTCCCCCCACCCACCTGACCCGGGCAAACCATTTTTCATGGCTTCACAGTCACACTCGACACCTCGGTGCTCTCACTGTGACCCTCCCTGCTGTAAAACGTAACCAGTTGGACTGAGAATGAGTGCACCCATCAAGTCAATCCATGGCTTCGCATTAGTTTCATTTACAACTACAGATTGACCGATGACCTAGATAATTATCATCTTGTTTTCAGGGTATGTTAACCTAGCAGGAGTGCCACTACACCCACTGCCTGTAGGTTGTTGCTGGTACAGCGTAGGTTGTATTTTGTAAACACTGATATGAATGCAGCTTCACCCGCAATGTGGTTTGATTTTCTGAGCCGCAGCTTGTATGGAATTCTTCAAATGTGATTAGTTGCATTTCACTCTCACCTTTGTCACACAAAAAGCCATAAGAACAGCCCTGGGAGTGGCTGGCAAGCAAGTAGGACATAAACAAAATGGTGCTCTGTGAGGATACCGGGGATGCACTACAAGCTTGCACTTCAGCTTTAAAAACACAGGTCGCAATTCACTCCAATGAATTTTGACTGCATAAATAACTGCATGAGTATCCACCTCCATCAAGTTAGTAGATGCACCGTACTCGCATAATCCAATACAGATGCAGCCAGTTGGTGCTAGACGTCACACAATTATTGAAATAGAGATCATCTGAGTGCAGTGAATGTGTCTCACTGATTGTAGACACCAGTATCTGGAAGGTCCAGGCACTGGTAAATCAGAAGAAATAAGACATGAAGACATAAGGACACTTCAAGACACTATGTTAAAAAGGTATAAGTCCGGGGATGGATGCAAGAACATTTCCAAGTGACTGCATACCCCTTGAAGTATAGTTAAAGCCATCAGTAAGAAATGGAAGAAATACAGCACACGTGTAAATCTGCCTTGAGCAGACTGTCCTTAAAAAAGGAGAGACTATACAAGAAAAAGACCAGTGAGAGAGGCCTCCAAGACACCTACGACTTCTGACGGAGCTTCCGCAGCTGAGATGGGAGACACGATGCGCACAACAACCGCCGTCCGACATCTTCAACAGTCAAAGCTTTATGGGTGCTTAGCAAAAAGAAAGCCACTGTTGAAGCACAAGTTCATCAGAAGGCCTGTGGGAGACTCAGAAGTCAACTGGAAAAGGGTTCTTTGATCTGATGAGACCAAAACTAAGTTTGTTGACCAACCACCAGACTGGAGGCTATGTTTGATGGACAACCAATTACTGCACATCATCGGAAACACACCATCCCCACTGTGAAGTATGGCGGTGGCAGCATCATTAAGTGGGGATGCTTCTCGGCAGCAGGAGGCTTGTAAAGCTAGAGAGCAAAATGAATGCTGGAGGACTGAATACTTTTCATAGGCCTTATCTACACTACATACCTCAGTAACATCAATTTGAGACATGACAGCATGGCAGGTTGCTCCATAAAATCAGCTAAATGAATGAATGAAGTCTCACATGGCAAAAACAGAAAGACACAATCCAGTCAAGCCTGCAGGATGACAAATCACCCAGAAAACAAAGACATCATAGTAGTCTGCTCTTCCTGTCACCTGGGGGGCAGATCCATCACCTGGGGCCCAGGTTTTCTCAGTCCAGTTATGTGCGCCAAGATAACACCAAAGATAAAATGAGGTGCCTATAAAAAAAAACAAGCAGGTTTCATTCCACACTGGTTACAAATCAGTCTCATCCCAACTCGCCTGACTGCTTCTTCATCCAAAGACACCAAAAAAACCAACAACCAGATTATTCCCTCACTGAAAACATTACCAGCTTATAACCAGGTATGTTCAAGGACATCCTTGCCCAAGCAGAAAAGTCATACGAGGACTACTTCAGCTACTATTGCATGACAAGGAGGGTCAAGTTGTACCTTTACTAAACATTCTTGCACATCTGGGAAATAAAATACACTTTCCTATGTAAAGTCTTCTACAGGGTTGTGGCTGATACTGCATGTAAAATGAAATGCAAGTAGAAATGTGATTTAGACCAACTTGTTGTTTGGTTCATATACACTCAGGTTTAAACCTTTGCTTTGCATTTAGTGCATTTTATTTAAAGTGTTATTTGTCTTTGAGATCAGACGTATATTTGGAAATGCTTTTTGCACCACTTTGTTTATTGTGCGCATACATTTAATTGCACTAATAGTTCGAACATTGAATTAAAAAGGAAAACATTTCATCCCTGAAGAAGACCAACTTCGATCTACAATATCTTCGGCAAACTTTAAAGCAAGTCACACCTTTATTAAAAATAATAAACCAGGATGGACTTTGTCCTGCAGCCTTGTCTCTTGCCACATAAATAAAAAATGTTTGGGCTTGCACAATCAGATTAAGGGTTTGTTCTTGTGGCTGTATGCAAAATAACCCTCAGAGATGTGACGGCACGCTGGTTTCCAGGTATGCACGGTAGGTGTCTGGAATGATCAAAATGAACACCGGTGACTTTGGGATAAACAAAATGAACCCAATGCACTTAAGATGAATTAAAGAAAACAAACTTTCTAAAACA